AAATACAGTAACTACTTGACTGCGTATCCACGTATCCACTAAAATATAGAGCTACCTATAGCATTAGAATTTGATGTAAATGCTTATCTAACTGGTTTCATATTATTCTCAAAATAACTACACTACTTGACTGCGTATTCGTGTATCCACTAGAATATAGAACTACCTTTAACACTATGACAATGTAATCTATTAATGCACTGTAAGTCATTGTATGCCTCGTAGCTACATTTACTACCATGATATTTTAATCCATCAATCTATTTATTATTAATCTATTGAGAATTCAATAAATATAGATGTTAATATACATCGTATCCATGTTTTTATGATATTTGAAAGGTATAGCATACAAAAACAGTTACAAAAGCAAAGAAAGGCAAGTGGGAATGGCGCCATATAACTTAAAATATGTCAGATGTCAACACCACATAACTATGAAGCCACAATGTGTAATAAGAAGGTATTCGCTGAAGGTTTTGTTTAAGGGCGCAGGTCGATGATGCGTCCGACTGTCTACGGACAGTAGAGTGAGAGACTGAAGCGCGATCTTCCGTTTCTCTGTGGCTCTGTGGCTCTGTGGCTCCGTGGCTCTGTGGCGCTGTAGCCTTCGTGTCCGCGGTGTCCTGCTGCGCGGTTCCTTTTATCCTTGAAATACGAACCGTCTATAGACCACAGGCTAAGTTCACTAACGCTCATACCGTACAGAGATGTGTATAAATTCTTAGTAAAGTCTTTATTGTAATATGTTTTGTCAGGTCGATAGTCATTTCCAACGCATATAGAATCGAATATGTCGTTTTTATAATCACTGCTTGTACAAGGGTCATTGGGGTTAATATTAGCGCAAGGGGTCTGTTTTATATCGTGTAATGTCATATTTAAACACGACATATCAGTTTGATCAAACATTTTATACGTATTAGAAAAATATAGTAATTAGTGATATAGCGCGCGACGATTGGACATATTTACGTTAGTCTGTATCGAAGGAATGTTGACGAATGACGAACATATAGGTATATAGAATCGAGTATGTCGTTGCTTACATAATGTTTGTAAGGCCACGTCATTGGAATCGGGTTAGTCGAATGTGTAAGTTAAGGCAAATAGAAAGCCAAGCACGGTTTACACAAGGATTAAATTAGGCAGTGGAATATTAGCGCTTTTTTACTTAGGGATATATTTGTCGAATATTGAAAGCAAATTGAATGTCATTACAAATATATAATAATAATCTTTATTCATCAAAATACCAATACAGGCACATATGAAATTACATACAATAAAAGATACAAATCGTATCTATATGTGATAGTTGTTATAAGATATAAGATAATAAAAAGTGCATAAATATATATAAGATCGATTAGGTCGTTGTTTAAATAATTCAATCATCCCTAAATAAATATATGTTGATCTTTTTCAAACTCCGCCGGAAAACATCGTCCTTAGATCTTTGCATGGACTATCCTTGAAACTCAAACTTCACGAAAATTGTATATACGCAGCCTGTAAACCTGATGCTTTGTCTTTGATGTATGCTGTCCTTGAACAAGAACTGTTCTTGTCTTAAGTGTTTTTCGTACTGTCTGTATTTCGGCGTGTGATGTATTTTGTTTCGTATACATATTAAAGCCCTTGTACTGTTCTGTCTGTTCAGTGTGCAAATTATTTTTGACACATTAAAATACTTTGTAACTTCTTAAATCTGTTTATGCTTATTGAAAAATGCACGTAACAGTCGTTTACGTATTTTTGTCATATCTGATGTTCAGTATGTGATTAAATGTGTATAATATTTGAATTGTGTTCAATTTACTTAATACTTTCTTTCAGTAAATTCGGAATTTGACAATAGCAATTAAGGTGGAGTAATATACTAATATGGGCAACAAAATTGCTGCAACTTGCAACAAAATCTGATTTCTGCGCATGTTAATTGAAATGTTTTGTCAACATTTCTACTTAAAATGCGTTGAAATTAGATTTTGTTGCAGAAATTTTGGCTGCAGCAATTTTGTTGCGCGTATTACTCCAACCTCGGTATTACTCCAACTTTAACAACAATTAATGCAGGCTACCCACATGTACGCAGCGCGTACCTATTTTTAGACGTTTTTTGGCTCTCAGAAAGGTTTTGAAATTTACAAAATCCTGTATACAACTTGCAAGAAAAGTGAATAAATGATTGATTGTTATTTTGCTGTCGTCAATGCAGTCGTTACAATGCAAATTTCAAATTTGACCAATGAGTGTTCACTATTCACGACAGTCCGCTACATATTTGAGATCAGTGTGGACGACCATCCATGAACGGTGAGCCATGCGCCCACGATATTTAATGAACTTTAGATTCGCTAGTGCGTTCCTTTCCCCGGGTGTAAATAGCCGGGGGGAATTAGGTACCCTCGCACGACGCTTCGCGTCGTCGGCACCGAGATAAAGTATGGAAAACAAATATTGAACTGATTTGATTGAAGCATTAATTTAGCATATTAATTCTGTGATTCGGTCCCGAGACATTATTCGTTCTATTTATACAAATTATCCGATTCAAATGCAAGTTATAAAATCTGAAATCAACTTATTGTTATATACAAAAATCATATACAATAATCTTTCGGTATATTAAATATCAGTACCTATATATATATATATATATATATATATATATATATATATATATATATATATATATATATATATATATATATATATATATATATATATATATATATATATAGATCAAAGAATATTTGCCTATTGGTCACCGAGTAATTTACTACAAGTGTTTCTTACAACCTCATGTAGATTATTGCTGTACAGTTTGGGGACAATCATGTCATATTATTCGCATACATAAACTCCAAAAGTTAGCTCTGAGAATTATTTACGACAAACCGAAGTTAACCTCTTCTGGGCCACTATTTAAAGCTGCTGGAGTCCTGCCTATACAGCAAAGAGTAATGCTACGAACAGCAATAATGGTATATAAATCATTAAACAACTGGGTACCCAAATACATAAGTGACTTATTTGTCTTAAAGTCATCAGTGACAAAACGAATTACAAGAAGCTCAGAGAACAACGAACTGTGGATACCGCGAACGAAACTAACAATTAGGCAGAAAACGTTGAAATTCAGTGGTGCAACATTATATAACAGTTTACCACGTGCGACCAGACAATCAACGTCATTAAGCTCCTTTAAAATAAGAGCCTATAAATACTTTTTAGATACTTATATATAAGTTATTTGTTTGTACGACTTTTATATGTTTTTGTTGTACTGATGTCCAATTTAATGTGTAGTTTTAATAGTAAATTTGTAATAAGTAGACGATAACAGTTGAACAGAAGGCCCAGTGTAAGATTAGCGTTGCTAAACTGGTTTTTGTATAATTGCACCTTCTTTAAATAAAGTTTATTATTATTATTATATATATATATATATATATATATATATATATATATATATATATATATATATATATATATATATATATATATATATATACAATAATAAATCGTTGTCCGTTGTACAAAAAGAGTGCTCAATAACAAATTTAAATGATAGAGCAAAATATACTAATTATAATCTTAAAATTTTATTAATCGCATAAAATAAAATAAAAAAAAAAATTTAACATATATAATAATTAGTATAAAAATATTATATATTTAATATATAAAATAATTAAACATATTTTATATTTAATATATAAAATAATTAGTATCTATATATATATATATATATATATATATATATATATATATATATATATATATATATATATATATATATATATATATATATATATATATATACTGCGTTTATACGTGTCCCAGGGCAAGCGAAAACTCAGATAGAGTCATCGGATATTTACTTGTACTAAATCTCCAGGTGCACTAAATCAGTTCCCTGAGTGTCAGTTTAATAGTTATAGCTATAACGCGTTTATAGCTATAACTTACATAATTATTGTCAACAATATTAACAATTCTAGGTTTGATTTCTTTTTTTCATCACTATTTTCACTTGAATCTGAGTCACCGTACGTTTCTTCATCACAGCTCGCTTTTGCTCCCATGCGAATGTTCACGTTTCTGACTCTCCTTTGTATGAATTTGTACGAAGACATTGTTGAAATAGTAGCGAAATACAATAAAAACATTCAGTGTGTTGAGTGAATGACGTCACATCCTATTCAAAACGCCTTCTCGCTTAATTGGGCGCGTTTAATGCTGCCGTAAAATTGGCAAATAAGAATCGCAAAAAAGTCAGGAAGATAAACGAATTTTGCCTTGAAATTTGGTTAGAATATTACTGAAGCATACGTTATATTTCTGGATTTTGAAAAAAAATTAATGATGGTGCCACTTTAAGAACATGCACGAGCGTTTAATTAATGATTTTAATCTCCTTCCGACTGTGCATACTTCGCTTTTCGGGTTTCTTGTTTATTTCTAAAAAACCCAGCGAAACGCTCTTTAAAAATACACAGCTCGTGAGCTTGGAAAATATTATTTATTTCAGTCATGATATGGAGTAAAATTACAAGCAAAGTTTGATAATTATAGGAGGACAAAACAAAACTTAAAAGTCCAGAACTTAAATTGAAAACTTAGTAAAAAAAGTAGATAGATGAATAGATAGTTTATTACAAAATATGTGGCAGCCCGAGAGCTGAATTGCGTATTTACAAATTTGGAAAACTAATTTACATATATTTTTCTTAGATATCAAATTTAAAAGCTAGCTGTTATTAAAATATACTAAGACCAAGTATATTTACAAAACGTAATGCTTTAATAAATAGAAGGAACAAATTTATGAATGATTGATTGCAAGATCATATCTTTGAAATCTCGATAAAGGACTTCAGCTATATTGTATCATAACTGTTACAATACAGTAGCCTGTTTTTATAAGAGGTTACTTTCCCAATCCGTTGATAATTCTCTAAGAAGATATAAACGAGATATTCTGTTTTTCTCAGCTAGTTGTCAGTCGCTTTCAACTCTTCAATATACCAGTGGGACCATAAGAGGTCCAGGATATCCTGGCAAGTATCCAAACAACGTCGTGTACTGTTGGCGTATCTACGTTCCACCGAACTATGTGGTTAAACTCAATATTAATTATCTCCAATTGGAGGCCTGTTCCGGATGCAGTTGTGATTCAGTGGAAGTGTTTGATGGTTACTCCGCCCTTTCAACTAGACTTGGAAAATTATGCGCGAGAAGTTGGCGGGTAACATCTTCTGGACGGTATCTTTTTGTAAAGTTTACTTCAGATGCCTCAGGAACAGGATCTGCCTTCTCAGCGTCATATTACAGAGCCGTTAGAGGTAAGGGCAAAGTTAGTTGATTCCAGGTTCCCAAAACTGCCAGTTGAAGCAAAACGCTTTAGTGCGCTACCCTGGGGGTACAAGATTTTGACAAACAACTTTCCTTTAAACGTGTTCCAAACTAAATTGGGATTTTCCAAAGTAGCATTTTATCCGCAGAATTTAAAAAAGAAACGTAATTATGCGGACAAGTCCCATTTCTGGCTAAAATACCTTATTTTTGTGGAAAAACCTTCAAATGTAAACACATTCCGCACAATTACACTATTAAGTTGAAATATATTCCCACATCAAAGTTCACTGACAAAATACAACTCTTAAAAGGTGTCAGAAAATCTGAACCCTGCAACATAGAATTCCGCAAACTCTTGTAAAAATGATAAATTTCGAGACACGGGGTTCAGAATTTCTGACCCCCTTACAATCCAAATACTAAAGTGACTTCTGAAGGCTTTAGGTCTCGATATTGTAAAAAGGTGTCAGAAAATCTGAACCCTGCAACATAGAATTCCGTAAAATCATGCAAAAATGATAAATCTCGAGACACGGGGTTCAGAATTTCTGACCCCCTTACAAGCCAAATACTAAAGTGATTTCTGAAGGCTTTAGGTCTCAATATTTTAAAAAGGTGTCAGAAAATCTGAACCCTGCAACATAGAATTCCGCAAAATCTTGCAAAAATGATAAATTTTGAGACACGGGGTTCAGAATTTCTGACCCCCTTACAAACCAAATACTAAAGTGATTTCTGTAGGCTTTAGGCCTCAATATTGTAAAAAGGTGTCAGAGAATCTGAACCCTGCAACATAGAATTCCGCAAAATCTTGCAAAATGGTAAATCTCGAAACACGGGGTTCAGAATTTCTGACCCCCTTACAAGCCAAATATTAAAGTGATTTTTGAAGGCTTTAGGTCTCGATATTGTAAAAAGGTGTCAGAAAATCTGAACCCTGCAACATAGAATTCCGTAAAATCATGCAAAAATGATAAATCTCGAGACACGGGGTTCAGAATTTCTGACCCCCTTACAAGCCAAATACTAAAGTGATTTCTGAAGGCTTTAGGTCTCAATATTGTAAAAAGGTGTCAGAAAATCTGAACTCTGCAACATAGAATTCCGCAAAATCATGCAAAAAATGATAAATTTCGAGACACGGGGTTCAGAATTTCTGACCCCCTTACAAACCAAATACTAAAGTGATTTCTGAAGGCTTTAGGTCCCGATATTGTAAAAAGGTGTCAGAAAATCTGAATTCTGCAACATAGAATTCCGCAAAATCATGTCAAAAATGATAAATTCCGAGACACGGGGTTCAGAATCTCTGTCCTCCTTACAAACCAAATAATAAAGTGATTTCTGAAGGCTTTAGGTCCTCAATATTGTAAAAAGGTGTCAGAAAATCTGAACTCTGCAACATAGAATTCCGCAAAATCATGCAAAAATGATAAATTTCGAGACACAGGGTTCAGAAATTCTGACCCCCTTACAAACCAAATACTAAAGTGATTTCTGAAGGCTTTAGGCCCGATATTGTAAAAAGGTTTCAGAAAATTTGAACCCTGCAACGTAGAATTCCGCAAAATCATGGAAAAATGATAAATCTCGAGACACGGGGTTCAGAATTTCTGACCCCCTTACAAGCCAAATACTAAAGTGATTTCTGAAGTCTTTAGGTCTCAATATTGAAAAAAGGTGCCAGAAAATCTGAACTCTGCAACATAGAATTCCGCAAAATCATGCAAAAATGATAAATTTGGAGACACGGGGTTCAGAATTTCTGCCCCCTTACAAACCAAATACTAAAGTGATTTCTGAAGGCTTTAGGTCCCGATATTGTAAAAAGGTTTCAGAAAATCTGAAACCTGCAACATAGAATTCCGCAAAATCATGCAAAAATGATAAATCTCGAGACACGGGGTTCAGAATTTCTGACCCCCTTACAAGGCAAAAACTAAAGCGATTTCAGAAGGCTTTAGGCCTCAATATTGTAAAAAGATGTCAGAAAATCTGAACTCTGCAACATAGAATTCCGCAAAAATCATGCAAAAATGATAAATCTTGAGACACGGGGTTCAGAATTTCTGACCCCCTCACAAGCCAAATACTAAAGTGATTTTTGAAGGCTTTAGGCCTCAATATTGTAAAAAGTTGTCAGAAAATCTGAACCCTGTAACATAGAATTCGGCAAAATCATGCAAAAATGATAAATCTCGAGACACGGGGTTCAGAATTTCTGACCCCCTTACAAGCCAAAATACTAGAGTGATTGCTGAAGGCTTTAGGTCTCAATATTGTAAAAAGGTGTCAGAAAATCTGAATTCTGTAACATAGAATTCCGCAAAATCATGCAAAAATGATAAATCTCGAGACACGGGGTTCAGAATTTCTGACCCCCTTACAAGCGAAATACATACTAAAGCGATTTCAGAATGCTTTAGGTCCAGATATTGTAAAAAGGTGTCAGAAAATCTGAACCCTGCAACATAGAATTCCGCAAAATCATGCAAAATGATAAATCTCGAGACACGGGGTTCAGAATTTCTGACCCCCTTACAAGCCAAATACATACTAAAGCGATTTCAGAAGGCTTTAGGCCCCGATATTGTAAAAAGGTGTCAGAAAATACGAACCCTACAACATGGAATTCTGCAAAATCATGCAAAAATGATAAATCTCGAGA